TTGAACGTAGCTTTATACGAGTGAAATTTGTAAAGTACATGAATTTTTAAAATTATTTGAAAAGTAACGAATACCGAATTTTGTAATATAGGATAGGAATAGGAATAAACTTATTGCCGAAAAGGTAGTGGAAGCGTAGAAGATTTTCTACTATTAAAGTTACAAATTGTTATTATTTTTGTTATTCCAACCATTATAACTGTTGCAGTTACTTATTATTGTTTTTTTATGTTTATTTGTAGCACAACCCCAATGTGATTTCGAAGATCCATACCTTTTTTACTTTGTACAAGATGATTCGGATGATTTTGATTGGATAAGATTATCTGGATCAACACCCTCTTTTGGTACTGGTCCTGAGTATGACCACACATACGGAACATTACAAGGTATTAAAAAGCTGACATGAAAATTATATTTGTTTTTCGAAATTGTAAATTTCCTAATGAAAATATTGCTGAAAATAAACACAATATAATTAAAACAGCATCTTTTTAAACATATCTAAAATCAATCTCCTTAAAATCTAAACAAATATTTTATGATATTTTACAGGTTTCTATATATACATCGAAACTTCATTTCCGAGAAAATATAACCAAACTGCTCGCATTTGGACACCGTCATATCCTGCAACGAACGGTACATGCGTGGAGTGGTTTTACCACATGTACGGGACCACAGTGAACACATTGAATGTGTATATAGTCAATACAAATGGTACTGTTGGTACACCTGTGTGGACAAAAAGAGACGACCAAGGAGATTTTTGGCAACTCGGACAAATCTCAATTGAAACAAGCAGTACCTACCAGATAGTGTTTGAAGGAATTGTAGGACGTAGTTATTCAAGCGATATTGCTTTAGATGACTTCAGGATCACCTATGGAACATGTTTGAGAAATGGTAAAGTACATGTTATTTTACTACAATAAAACGGCTATTATTCCTTTTGCCCCAATTTGCACCGGTCTTTTAACACATACTACCTTCACCACACGGAAATTGACCGCACAGCTTTGTGACACCTGGGCAGGGCCTGTTACGAAACTTGCTTTTTACCAACCTACCCAAGGTCTAATGCTACCCGTCATTCTGTGATGACATAGGCCTTTCAGTCCATAGATAGATCCGTTACCACCCAGCATGGGCCTTAACTAAACAATAATGGTTGTTTATCGGACCCCATTGGATTTCAGCTGTTTTTCAGCATAGACCCACTGGTGGTGTGGGCTGTTCACAGGTATTGGTGATCCTCTTTCTGGATAGTGTAAAATACGTGAGGATAATATAAAGTAAAAGAAAATATTACTTAAGTTGCACTTATTGTTTTATTCATTTTATATTCCAGGAACTATAAAATACCAAAGTTACACTTAATTGGTTTATTCATTTTATATTCCGGTAACTATAAAATACCAAAGTAGAAGCTAGTTTACGTTCAGATACACGCATGCCATAGCTGGAAAAAATATTATTCGTTTCAAATACGCAAATATGCAAAATCATCAGCACAATTTGGAAATATATTAATTTTTGTCAAGATTTGCGGCCAGTGCTTTAAAATAGGAATTTTTGGTGAAAAGTCTTTTATGGGGTCTCAGACATCGCCTTAGCGCTGATATGCTATGTCAGATCTTTTGTTTTTGTTTTATTTTTGTTTTGTTTTGTTTTGGTTTTTTTTTCGTACACACGGTACTAGGTTCTTGTAAAATTTGGTCTAAATTGGAAAAAGGTTCAATTAAAGGTTAAAGGATATTCCACCTTTTTTACATTTTTGGGTATAGGGGTTAGTGATTTTCATGCGCTAAATAAAGAGGTCACCCCTTTTGTAAAAAAGGAATGAAATTAGGTAGCCCATGGACTATTCATATTTATTTATTTCATTTTTACTAGATTAAGTTATAAAAATAACTAAAATTAACATATACACTGAAATTGAAGATGTACATCCAGTGTGTAAATCCAGTGGCGTATCCAAAGGCTCGAGTACATCCTCCCCCACCTTTTCTGGAGATAAACAGTAAATACGCTTAGCCTTTTTATGTTTTATATTTGTTTGAATAAAATTGTTTCATAGTATGCATTTCCATGTTTAATAGGCAACAAAAAACGTACTTTCCTATTATGCCTAGGCCTACAATTAGTAAGTAATATAAGCCCAAGCTTTTCCAGATTTTAGTCCTGAATGAAAACAAACATACCATTCAAACTTAAAATAATTCTAATTAAAAAAAATACAAAGAATCATTTTAAATTTTAAAAATAAATTTTCGGATCTTCAGGAACTATATTCAATCGAGAGTTGGATGTACGTAATCTTTATACGTACAAATTTTTTGACCTACAATAAATTCCAGGATCCGGAATTATATATTTTTAGTACATCAAAATACCAACTTATTTTTTAAAAATCACGCCTAGCTTGGCTTAATAGTAATGCGCAACTATATTGGTAGTTTGTGATAAAAAAAAAAATATGATGTGGCTTTTCTTGTGACATGAATATAATATGTTTATTTAAAAAGTGCAACTCTCATATCCATTCCATAGCTTTCAAATAGTGTTCCATTTTTTAGATTTTGGAGGAACAGCATTGCTAGTCAGTGAAAAAAGTCGGAAGTAAAATTTATTAGAAAGTACGCTTTTAAATCAGCGCATTTTCACTTGTCAACAGTGGCTGGTTTGTTAGTTTGTCTGTAAGTACGATTACGCAAAAAGTATTAAACCAAAAAACTTTGTCAAAAAAATAGTGGAGGGGGTCTTGCATGTAAAAAAGACGAACTGGTTAAATATTTCTGATGAACAGGGACGAAAATCTGGACATAGAGACCATATAAAGGAAACGTGAAACACTAAATATTTCCAAATATAATCAAATAATTGGAATGAAACCAGTGTGGCCCCAGCAAGTGGGGGAGGGGGTGGGTTTCAAGGTCACCGTCAGAGAGAGCTTCTCCCTTTTCTCTCTCTGGTCTCTGGGAGAAAAAAAAATAATTTGTGGGGGAGAAATAATAACATTATGTATTTTCTAGACATTAGTAGACTTAAAGTAAATAAGCCTTGCAAATCTCTACATTTTCATATACTTTTCAAAAGTTTTTATTGACGCCTAACCATGCTCACTTTGCTCTCGTCGGGGACATCGAACTTCTCGTCAGCGCATCGGCCCCCGTCCAAGCAACAAATTGGATTCAAGTTAAGTTACGAATGGGTCTGAATAAAACTTTCCAAAATTATTTTTCATGGTCCTAGAAATAATTGGTTACATTTTGGTAATAAGGAGCAGGGTGTATGTATTACGGAACATTTAAAGAAAACTAGATAGCCCTAGTGTAGAGATCTGAATTTATTTTTAAAGAAATGGGTAGGTCGGTAGGAACACTTGATGACTAAAATGCTGAACCTGAATTTCGTAACATTTGGGTCGGTCGGACGTGGCAAACACAATATTTTTTTTTTTTTTTTGGCCTAACCCAGGACACATATTTATAAAATACTGGTAACAATCCAGGGCAGAATGAGAGTGTGGAAACAATTTTGCAAAAAGAGGCAGGATACACAATAATGAAATACTCTTACTAGCTAGATCTCACAAAACTAACTTATCAGCATGATATTGTCGTTAAGACGTTCGCTTGGTGAAGGAAAGCTCATTGGCTTGAAACCCGTCGTTAGGGCAGTTTCTGTACTCACTAAAAATGGAAATCATTATATTTTTCTTACAATTCTTATAATAGTCTACTCTGCATTATACTATCACTTTTCGACAGTTATTACTATCAAGATCATCCTGAATACCTTTTTATTATGGGAAAAATATCTCTGGCAAATTCATACAAAAGAAAGTTTGGATATGCACAGAGGTTACTTTTATATGAAGCTCACTCTATTTTGTCTGTTGCGCACATATATCAAAAGGATTTCGAAGAAATTCAGTAGATGTGTTCCGCATGCAATAAGGAGACTCTAATTAAAATTTTGGTGACAAAAAAGGTGGGGTGTCCATGTGAAGGTGTGTATAAAGAATATCTAACACTAAATATTTCAAAACTAATCAAATGATATAAATGAAATTCTTTGAAAAGATATATCAGTTTATAAGAAAGACTTTTGCTGATGTCGCAAATCCGGTGTCAGGTTTGGACTTGAGGGGTAATTTAAAGTGATAGGGACCTAAAAGTAAAATAAACAACTGACCCATGTATCTGAATGACACTTTGTACATTGTTTGTTATGGTACAATGGTAACATTTTGGTGACGATCCTGCACCATTTAAAGGAAAACATCCAAAGCTATTAGATATCTCAACAAATTATCAACTGATCTGACTGAACGTTTTAGAAACGATAACCAAAGCACGATGAAGACATTAATTAAGTTTGATGGCATTCCAAATTCAGGTGTAAATTTAAAGTGCTAACGTCCCAGACCTAAATATCTTATAAACTAATTTGTGGATCTGATTGAAACTTACCAGAATTGTTTTTTATGGTACTAAAAATAATTGATAATTTTGGTGACGATGCGGAGTAGGGTATAAATATGAGGACATTTTGAAGAATATGTCTCAGACCTAGATAGTCCACAAAAACTAATGACTAGATATAAATGCATGTTTCTAAAAAGGCTTATGCTATTTTGGTATCAATCTAGGGTAAATTGTTAGAGTAGTGTATGGCAACCATTTAGACTGCACACATTTATATATAACAGCTTTCATTTTTTAGGACATGTAAATTTCTTAAAATCTGAGAAGGGGACGTTAAAACTCAATAAATACGATAACTAATTACCAACTGCACATAATTGATTGAAACCATCAGTTAGGTCTATTTGGTTATGATGTTCCCATGCTGAATGGCAGCTCTTCTGGGTTTGAATCCTTTGGAGCATGTGTTTCTGTTTCCATTTTTTTCCCATTTAATTATTTTAATGTTGCATGTAAATGAGAGTTTAAGAAAATTAAAATCCTCTTTTTTTATTTAAACGAATAGAGATCTTTTAAAATTTCCTTTAAAAAGGAACAGGAAAACTTCTTGAGGTGAAATCCTTGAGAATTGAACCAAATGGACGTAAATTGACAAAAAATACCATACAAATAAAACAAAAGATTTAATGAAAAACATTCGGGTGATCTTCAACCCATCGTTTATGAACAGTAAAAACAAAATATATCCAAGCTAGTATCTTATTCACTATATATAGATGATTGATATTCTGCATATTTTATGTGGTACATTAGTCATCAACAAAATTGAGTAGCTATAGTTAAATATATGCAGGGTATGACCTTGCATATAAGACTGCTAAAGTGTAACTTAAAGTATTTTTAAGTTAACATGTTTAACTTGCATACTTTGGAATCAGGATTGTTCCATTATGTATAGTGATTCTTTGATTTTCAATTTGGTTTCATTGTTATCACTATCCATTATTGTAAAACATTTTTTTTTCAGACAAAATTTTGTATTTTTTGTTTGTATTAAGATGTTTGAGTACATGCGAATTCATATCATTTCCTGGGTTTGCATTGATCCTAGTAATTCATCTTCAGCATGTATAGCCCATATAGCTGGAATTACATTTTTATATTACATGTATTAAATTTGTATACGAGAGTTTATTGTTCTTTATAATTTCAATTAGGCTTATATATTGGTTATTATTATATTATATTAATTTATATTTACTAAAAGTGAACTAATATGAATCTTCCTATTAATTATTACATCATTTTTAAAACACGTGCAACTCCAAAGTAACAAAATATAGAAATAACCTGAAAATTTACAAAATTAGTAAAGATTGCTTTCAGTTTTTGTAAGACATGTGGAATTTCTTAAAATCGTATATCCAATGGATGAACACAACTGTATATTTGTATATATGTTGTAATTCTTACAGTATTGTCTTGTTTGTTTTTTTTCTTTAATGGCGCTGTTATTTATTTATTAAACTGATCTTGTACTTTTATTACGGGGAAACACAAAAGTGCATTCATTATTTATAATGTAACATCCCGATATCGAAGTACATGACAGGTCCTGCAGAGGATAATGTCATGATTTTGACTTCGCAGTCATGGTTAGTGTAGCTAAATATCCTTAAAATAAACAGTGCTTAACTAGATAAATACATGAATATATCAGAGTTGACATTTTCTGCTAAAATATTAATCATTTCAAATTGTGTCACTAAATAAAAAGTTTACATCCAAATAAATAAAAAATAGATAAATGCATGCATCTGCTGTAGAGCCGCTAATCTTCATACAAATAAAAACTTTAAATCTATTGAAACTTATCTTTTAAAATGTTCTGCCTTCTTAAATTTTCTAATTCATGTGAATTGAAATGTCAGGACATATACATTCTGTGTATGTGCATACATATGAAAAAATGAGGACATTTTATTAGATACATATGAAAAAGTCAGGACATCATTATAGAGGGCGCTGTTCACTTTAAAACATTTT